CGTTACTAACAAATGCATGCAATATTATTTGTCGCATCAATTATCATGCTATCATACATTGCATACAGAAATTTCAGTGATGGCGCAGCATTTGATGCGACTTAGTGTGGCACACCATATGCATTGCGTATCTAGTTAATTGTATAAGTTATATAAAAGTAGTATATATAACGATTTAATATGATTTTAATACACTATTTTTTATGGCTGTTCAACGTAGCTAGAAAAGTTTGTGTGCTGTGACAAATACGCCATTTTATACAGTATATCGATACAATAGAGTCAATAGCATAAATGATCATTTATTTAGGAATGCATTGCCAACTGTACATTTTACCTTTTTTTATAACATTATCTCTATTTTCCATATTCTTTATTATCCATAGTCATATTCTCCATCTTCTATATATTCCCCAACTTTGCTCTCTTTTTAATACACTATTAACAATAAAGTCTGCACCAATAAATATTGATAGCTCTCAAACTAATACATGTATAGCAATGGTTGAGAAATTATATTATTTCGCTATAAATAATTATTTTCAAATGAATGCATGTGGCGTATAGTGCAACTAGTGAAACAAACTGCTCATAAAAAAAATGAGTTTTTCTTTGAGTTTAAATTATTCTTGTTGCAAATTTGACAGTCAATTCGATAACCACAAATAATCAAGAAAAAAATTCTTTCTTTCCTCTTTTTTTTTTTGTTCCAGTGTTGCTTTTCAGTTTCGTGCTATAATTATCTAGTAATATTAAGGTTAGTCTTTATTTGACTAACTTCTTTTATTTTTGCTATTAAATTTTTGTAATTCATAAATTCAATTTTTTTAGGTTATATCAAAAGCTAAAAAAGTTTAATATTAGGTATGGTTCCTACGCTATAAGTGTCAGCTTTAGTTATATATATGGTAATAATGTATAAATTTTCTCACACTTACATAGAAAACTTCCAGTTTTAGTATGCAAGCCATTTTTAACGTTAATGTGTAAATTCCATAAACAAAACTGCCCTCATCATTATCGTTATGAAAATAGCAAAGTGATTTTACGATGTCATGAACAATGGGAACTTTTTGTTTCTAATTTAATTTTTCGTCAAAGTTACCCGCAATGCTCAAAATATCTAATATTATGCCTGGATGTTTCGTAACCAGTTGTCACTTTTTAAGTCCAAATGCCAACCTGTTGATAAAGTAAACAACAAGGTAAATATCTAGTTCATCTAAAATTTTCTCATCAAAATAAACTTTATTATTTATAAAGGATTTTTAACGTCATAAATTTCTTTATCCTTAGTTTCCGAACTAACTTATGAACATTACCGCCGTTTATTAAATTGATTATCATCTTTAAACTCTACCCAGTCAATGTTAAGATCCGTTCACGAATTATTCAAAGCACTCAATTGATGAGCATTTAATAATTGTCAACTACATGACCAAGACTCGAGTTTTTTTTGTAGAAGCACGCTTTTTCTCACAATATTGTGTACATAGAACGAAAAATTCGACCTAACGCTAAGTTTACGTTTATTTAAGCACTCACAATACTAATTCGTTGTTGACTGATTCATCGAAGAAAGTTGTTGTTTGATAATCTGGGCTGGATGATATTCTTTTTAATTTCGTTACATAAAAAAGTGGTTTTTTTCTTAACTCAACAAAGATTGTTTCAAAGCTTTTTTCACAAGAAATTATCAGTACAAATTCGCTTATATTACATATAATTGTACTTCAAGTGGATGTTAGTCTTAATATTTTGTCGTGAATAAGCACCATTTTTTGGCTCTAAAAACGGATGATACTTTCTGCACATTATAATTAATTCAAAATTTCGCCATTTATGATATGTTTTGTAATTTAAATATAAAGATGTTTATTCACAGATTTGCTATTATTCACAACAAAATACGATGGGTTACATTATTTAGATGTATCGTAAATAAATATTGGAAAAATATTATTCTAAAGAATTTTTTAACATACAAAACAACCTCATATCTATCAAAGTAGAGAATGCGTAAATAAAGCTTCATTTTTCCTTAGAAAAAATGATTGGCAAGTGAAAGGATACTGGCGAGCGAAAGGAAACAATTGGTTGTTTTTTAACCTGGTTGTTTGTATCATTTGTAATGGGTTCTGATGTAGGTTGAATAACTTCATTATCACTTTCTAATTTTTTTTGCCTATGCTTATATAAGTATAATTTGCATAGACAAAAATTAAAAGAACAGCACCTAAAATTCCACCTATGACACCACCTACTATACCGCCAACATTTTTACTTTTTTTTGGAGTTAGATTTGTTTGATGAAGGTCAGGTACCCACGTATAATTAATATTCTGTACAATCTACTTTAAGAATTGAAATAACCTTTGCATTCGATGTGGCATCTCGATTCATTCTTCTCTTATTTATATTCGATGTGGCATCTCCAATTAACATTCCATCTTCTTTCCCTAAAAAAATAAAAAGTGTGCTTAGACTTTATTTATTTAAAAATATATATTTTTAAAAAGATTACCGAATGCAACGATCATATAAATATCGTCGATAATTGTTGCATTATGATAATAAGGAATGGGTTGCATATTAGGTGTAACTTTTGGTATTTGCCATTTGTAATTGCCGCTATTTATCTCCAGCATTACTAAAGCATTACTAGAATGAAGAGGTGGTGTTGAAGTCCGCCGTATACGATAATCTGAAGCTGGTAATTTTGATTGGTCATTAACTTTTGTGTCAACGGTTATCCAAGTTTTCATATTTATATTATAAATTAGCACTGCACTGATTGGTTGTTGTTCAGGGTGAGTGAATGTTTGTGATTGAATGGATGTTTGTGGTGGATGATGGCAGAAAGGATGATTGAGTTTGAGGTTGAATTGATGGTCGTGATTGAGGTTGAATGAATGGTTGTGATCGAGATTGAATGGATGGCTGTGATTGAGGTTGAATGAATGGTTGTAATTGAGGTTGTAGCCGAGTAAATATGCCGAAAACATAAATGCTTCCAGATGAATCGATTATAGCATTCATAATACTTGCTTGTGGAATATCAAGTTCTGGTAGACCATCAAGTCTATTTCAAGATGTTTTACTTGATATATCAATAAAGTAGCCTTGAAATAACTGTTAAAATAAAACAAATTTGTGAAAAATTATTCTTTATATTACTAAAAAATGATATTTAAGCATTACCGTGGTGCCATCAAAGCTTCCTTATACATAAATTCTTGAATTATTTATCACAGAAGTTGCAAAAGATACATTGGAAAGAGTATGATTGAGTATTTGCTGTTCAGATTTTGGAGCTGTTATATTCAGCGAGTTTGATATTTCAAGTGTAAAAAAAGCAGCCGAAGTACTATTGTAGCGATTGACTCCTCCCAAAAAATAAATTTTATTGTAATTCGCAGTATGCCCATAATGAATAAATCTAGATGGTTCAATAGCATCGTCAGCATCTGCCGACCAGAATAAAATAATCATAATAATCATAAGTTTATAATTTAATAAATCCATTTTTCTTTTGTAAAATAAATTTTTACACTATGTTAATAAATATTTCTTTACGCATTAATATTTTGGTGCTGAATAATAATTGTGCTATTTCTAGGAGAATAGAGAGAATCGTAATGATAACTACGTATGCGGGTCGAGTTAGTATGATTCACATATTTATGGTTTTATTGGTAAAGCGTCACATGCAGTGTTTGCAGAATTGCAAATTTACATTTACATGTAATTACCATTATACATGTACAGGGGGTGGAAAAAAGTATTGGACACTTTTATTTTATTAATTACTTTAAAATATATATAATAAATTATTTTTA